ACATCACAAGCAAATGGTTTCTGTCCTGTGTGAACTATCATGTGTGTCTTTAGATTAGCTTTACTGTTAAAATTTTTTCCACAGTCTTCACAACTAAATGAGTTCTGTCTTGACTGTTTTTTCTTGATCGAGTCTCCAGTTTTCTTCATTTCAAAACATTCCTTGATAACTAAACAACTTGAAGACATCATTGACTGACTTGTCTTGTGAAACTGTTTCCCATGCTCACTGAAACTGCAAGACTTCTTGACAGTGTGTACGCCTGACTCAGGAGCTCTGCTCTCCTTCCAGTCCTTGTCACCATATTCAGGTTCTGATCCATAGTCTAAGTCTTTTAGCTGAGAGTCAGAGTCATTTACATCATCATCATCACTGACTTCAGTCTCTGAAGAGCTGCAATCATCTCCATAAGTATTTTGATCTGGGTTCCTGATAGTCTCTGCTCCTCCACAGTCCTCTCCACCAGTTGCTGCTTTCATCTGGTCAATTGAGCTGCTGGTTGGAAGATCTTCCTCTTTTACTTGGTGCTGATGAAGCTGTAAAAACAGAGGTTTCTCTTCATCTTCCTCACTCTTCAAAGGAACAGCAGTGAATGCAAACCCGGTGTCATTAGTCTCCTTTTTCACACAAAACTGCTCTCCGTCTTGACTGGTCCACAGTTCCTCCTCTTCCTCCTTTATGCTGAGGGTATTTGGATCCTGTTGGTCCACACCAAGCATCCATCCTTGAGGAGCTTCTTCTTTAATCAGCACCATCTGCTGAACATCTGTAGGGAACAATGAAAATATGAACATTAGGCACAATTACAACTTTATATTCACAAATGCAGTGGTGCTTGTAAGTTTGTGAAACCTTTAAAATTTTTTAAATTTCTGCATAAAAATTACCTAAAATATCAGATTTTCAAACAAGTCCTAAAAGTAGATAAAGCGATCCCAGTTAAACAAATGAGACAAAAAAATTATACTTGGTAATTTATTTATCGAGGAAAATTATCCAATATTACATTTTTCCAGAGATTTGTCAAGCTGTTTGATCAATAATGCACTAAATTACCATAATTCTCGGGCTTCAGAACACACTTGTCTCTAAGCTGTCTGGTCAAAAAAAGTTATCACCTGGATTTAACTAAGCAAATAGGTACGAGCCTCTTATTGAATAATTACTGCATGGGCAATTATCTTTCAGCTGGCAACAAGTTATTTAACCCCAACTGTTGCAATGAGTTGCTTCTCATTTCTTCTTTATTTTTTTGTATTTTTTTTTTTGTATAAATATCTAAAAAAGTTAAATCTGGTCCTCTGGACATTCAAAAAACAAAGCAAAACAAAAAAAATGTAGAAACATTTCGTCTTTCATCCGAAAGACTTCCTCAGTCTGAGGTGCTGTATTCAGCTCAGTCATATAAATAGCACCTTCTCTGAGTGGATCAACCAGTTTTGCTGCTGACAACCAAAACCAGCTGCTCACATGATCAAGAAGGACCATCAGCCTAACGATGGATCATTAGCACACTTGTGGCTGTTTACTATTCACAGGAGGCTGAGTGATACTAAAAACAGCATTGTAAGAGGGGGACAGTTGAACCCGGAGGTCTCCACCCTTGTTTAATGATGGACAATTTCTTTTAACAAAGATGGCCTCCTTTACTCCTCTCTCAAACCATTGTTCCTCTTTATCCAGGATGTGAACATCTTCATCCCTGAACGAGTGACTGCTGGCCTGGAGATGAGTGTAGACCGCAGAGTCCTGGCCTGATGTTGTTGCTCTTCTGTGCTGGGCCATCCATTTGGCCAGTGACTGTTTAGTTTCCCCAATGTAAGACTGATCACAGCCCTCCTGACACTGAATAGCATACACAACATTACTCTGTTTGTGCCGGGGGACTAGATTTTGGGATGAACCAGTCTTTGCCATAATGTATTTTGGGGTTTAAAAGCCACTGGGACGTTGTGTTTAGAAAATAAACGTCTCAGTTTCTCTGATACTCCCTCAACATACGGAATGACCACTAGTCTGGGTTCCTCCGTTTCACCTGATGGCTGACTGGAGTCCCGTTTGAGTTTCTTCTCTGCTTTCAGGAAGGCCCAGTTAGGATATCCACATTGCTCTATAGCCTGTCTTGTGTGGGATTTCTCCTTCTGTCTGACTCCTGAGTTAGTGGGGATGCTGTCTGCTCTGTGATACAGAGTCCTGATGACTCCTAACTTGTTCTCCAAAGGGTGATGGGTGTCAAACTGCAAATACTGGTCTGTGTGGGTGGGTTTACGGTACACCTCAGTTTGCAAATGTCCTCTATCAGAGACTGAGACCTCACAGTCCAAGAAAACCAATATGCTATTTTTTACATGTCCTCGTGTGAACTTGATGTATTTATCCACAAAGTTGATGAAAACAAAACCACAATAAACTTTTGCTAACCCAATGTAAACCAAAAATCTGACGAACTTTCAACCATGGGGTATCCTTCATCCCCAAGTCCCTGTTGGTGGGTGGAGAGGAAATCCTCACCTCTACTGAGGGCCCCTCCCTAGATCTAGTACTACTCCCATCCTGTGGGGTACCACTCCATCTAGACATGTCCAACTTAAATATCTCACCTTCTCCCAGTCGGTTTTAATTAAATCCTCTTTTCCCGCCGTATCAACTTCTTCTGAAAGCAGAACATTTTAAGATTTCCATTGAAAGCTTTGTAGTTTTTCTCTCACTCGGTGTGCCGGGTCTAGTTCCCGTTCTTTTGCCCTCGCTCGCTGTCACCCCGCGGCTCCACGCCGTCTCTCCTCTGCTGCCGCGGCGTTTCCTCCTGGCTCAGCAACGATTTAGCCCCTTTCCTTCATGTCCTGCGCTGCTGTCCTGGCACTGTCGTATGTCTTTGTTCCGTTCTCCCAGTGTATCCGAATTTTAGCGAGTGTTGTCTGGAAACGTATTCCTTTCATCTTCAATATTTTTTTAATCTCCTTATATGCCTTTCGTTTCTGCACAATCTCGGTCGGATAGTCGTGGTCGAAGTAGATTTGTTTACCCACTACCTGGATCTTTTTCTGCCAGGCTTTCTTCAAGATCGTTTCTTTGGTCTCAAATTTTAGAAAGTTAACCAAGACTGACCTCGGTGCTGCATTAGGGTTCGGTTTTGGGGTGAGGGCTCGGTGGGCTTGTTGAATCTTGAAATCGATCCCCTCCGGATTTCGAGTTCTTCCTTAAAAAGTTGCTCCAGAAATGTAGCTGTGGATCTCCCTTCTACGTCTTCTGGTAAGCCGAAGATTCGGATATTGTTTCTCCTTGTTCTCTCTACGAGATTAGTTAGTTTTTCCTGCATTCGCTGTGTTTGTTCCACCATCTTCGTTAGCACCTCGTTAGCACCTCGTTAGCATCCGTCTTCCACTCCTCCACCTCCGCTATGCGTGTCTGTGCCTCGCTGATGTTAACTCGATGTGTCTGTAGCTCCTGGCCATTCTCGGACAGCTTACGGTCTATTTCTTGTTGAAGATTTGTTATTTCTTCCTTCATTTCTCTCTTCAGCTCGTCTTTAAATACAGCCAGCTCCAGGTACAGCTCTTGTTTAAGTGCTTTAATATCACCTCTAATGGCTGCGAGGCCATTTTGCAGCGTCTCCGTGTTATCGTGCTCTTCCATTTCCTCTGCTGGGGCTTTTTCGTGTTCGCTAGCTTCGTGTTCGGAGATTTCTTCCGTTACAGGCAGCCCTTCGGTTCTGTCTTGCTTTTTATAGTTTTTCCGGCTTCTTTTCTTGCTTATCCCACTCATGCTGTAGTTTTATCTATTGAGTTCCAGTTTTGTTGTGGGCATTTTTACCGGACTCTGGAGAGCTAGCTGACTATGCTCCTATTCCCTCCGCCATCTTGTCTCTCCTTCCACCAGCAGGGCTGTTTTAAATGACAGAAATTTAAGTGAAATCTGATCTAAAGGCTCAAAAGGAGCTTTAACCAGTGTGCAAAGAACTATCGCTAAATCCCACTGTGGGGCTAGTGGACGTGACACAGTCTGTGTCTCTGTACACCTTTCAGAAAACGCTTCATCAGTGATTGGTTAAAGACTGTTCTGTGACCAAAACCCTCATGACAGGAAGAAATAGCTGAAGCATAAGTTTTAATTGTGCTTAACGATAATTTTCTGTCCATCAGCTGTTGCATAAATGATAGAACGCAGTCTAACGGACATAAAATGGCCTCCACACCTTTCATGACAGACAGAGCTGTCACTACGCTGCAGGGTTTGACACGGCGGACCTGAGCTGACAGAGCTTCGGCTCTCGGCTGTGATAATTGGGCTCTCGTCATGGTTGAGTTTAGCTCCCCTCCCAGATAAACAATCATCTGGGACGGGAGAACAGAACTTTTTTTTCCCAGTTTATGGAAAAACCCAGGTTTATCAGATGTACCGCTAAAGCTTTGGTCTGCATGACTGCTTCCTGTCTGGATCGAGCTAATAAAAGCAGATCATCCAGATAAAAGAGGATTCTCATTCCCACCATGTGTAATGGCTGTAGAGTCCTCTCCACGCATTTGGAGAACGTGTGTGAGGCGAGAGAGTAACTGAACAGCAGACGGTTGTACCGATACGGGATCACATGGAAGGAGAAACGCAGGAATTTTCTGTGTTTCAGGATGATGGGAATATGGAAATAAGAATCCTTCAGATCTATGGAGGTGAACCAGTCGCTCTGGTGGATGTTCTCCAGCAGCTGTTTGATTGTCAGCATGTGGAATTGTCTCTCCATGATTGATTTGTTGGAACATGGACAGATCGAGAATGGGTTTCATCCCTCCCGTTTTTTTTTTTGGAACCAGGAAATAGCGGGAGTAAAACCCTATATTTTCCTCTCTGGAAATTACGTTTTTTTTTTTTAATCATGAGTTCCTGTACTTCTGACTGGAGAGAGGAGCTCTGTTCTGGGGATGACATAACTGTCTCTATAATCCCTCTGAACAGCGGAGGGTGAGCTGCAAACTGTAGCGTGTAACCCCTGCTGATCAGTCGGTCCATCCACCTGTCCAGGGAACATACTCGCTGCCACTCTGAGTAACGCTTGGAGAGCGGGCACACACTTTTGTGTTGTATCATGTAGAGGTGGGCAATATGGCTCAAATATAATAGAGTGATATTTCAGAGCATTCTGACGATAACGATAAATTTCGTGATACAACAAAAAGAAAAAAAAAACGAAATAGTTATTTGACAAAATTAACTTAACATGTTGCTTTGGGGTATTATATAAAATTAAAAAAAACAAGGGGTAATTTTATTGAAATTACTTTATTTAGTAAAGTATTCAGTCTCCAAGTATAAAAATAAAAAAAGATCCTTCTGTTATTTATATTGAAAATTGTGCACAATATATAGATCAATAAATCCACCACAAAAACTAAAGTGCAGGTGAAGTTTCCTAAAATAACTAAATAAAATAAAATGAAGCTTAAGATCTGTTGAGCATAAATGTAACAAACAAAATATAACTTGCCTTTAAATGAGCTATAGCTTCCAGAACTTGTAACAAGGTGATCAGCTGACCCTGAAGCTTGTGGTGTTTCAGCTTCCTCTGTTCCTGCAGGAATGATTAATTTCTCTGATGCAATGTCTTTTATGACCTGACTCTGTTCTTGGTCCATGGACTGTGGATCTACGAGACAGACATGCACGTGTTTGTACCGGCAGTTTAGAGCGGGGGAGACGTAGCCCGCACGGGCAGCTCAGAGCGGGGTGCGGAGAGAGAGAAAAAAGATGAGTGGCAGCTTACAGCGGGGGGGGGAG